AAAGGAGAGGATGACCTGAAACAGAAATACTATAATCAATAAGATAATCTGAGACAAGTGAAAAGAATGAACAGGAATCATATGCTAAAGCTTCCTTATGGCATGAGACAGCTTGACTATAATTTATTGTACACATAAAGAGTTTGAGAGTACCCCATAAAAAAACAATTGCTTGCATGATGCCAGTCATTTCCAGGCACTCATTTAATGCAGATCAGCAGAGGCTGACAATCCCTTTCAAAAAGGTTTGATTTCAAGTTCCAGCCTAATTAAAGGCTCAGGCTGTAAACAGCTGTATTGCAGTGTTGGGTGCCCTTCTGAGAACCTTCAGCACCAGGAGAACCCTGTTACAACCAGCTGCTCCTCCAGCATCCATGGGCACCATCAGCACTAACTCAGCATAGAGACAAGTCCCAGCCACTATGCAATGACACTGCCTCTGCAAACTCCATCCCCTTTATTACAACGCAACGTAAAAGGGTCAGCTGCCAAAACTAGTTCACAATTAATGCTCTCATGATTTACAAAAGCTTGTTTCCCCACAAGCACAATCTGCCCACACAGCAGTATTTAGGGCCAGCCTCCAGGCTCTTCTAGCTGCTGTTTCATACACCACGTGGAGTTCGAGGATCACAAGGGAAGGAAACAAATAACCCATGATTCCATGGCCCCTAACCAAACTATGAAGTGATCAAACAGGCAAGTTTCTTGGCACAGACACCAGGAAATATATCAGCCCCGTGCTGTTATTAACCCTCTACTATTGCTAAATTCAACTAGTCATCTAGCAATTAATTGCAAGGAGGAGATGGGAAAGAAAAAAAAAAGGGGGGGAAAATCAGAAAAACGACCACAAATAATCTTGTCACTTTATTATATAAACAGTATCAACATTAGTATCAAGATACACATGAAAGAACTAGTCTACTTCTCTTGCAATGAGATAACTCAATAAATGGCTCACTTGAGCAAAGCTTTAATAATTTATTTTCATCACATGGGGTATGTGGGTTATGAAGAACCCTCCAAAACTGAAGGTAATGTAGCAGCTGTATCAAAACAGAGCAGCTTCATAGAAGAAGCTCCCTTTCCTTTCCTTATGCTCTCTGCTTATTTTCAGGGTAAAGACCAGAGCAGTTTTTGCACCTCCATGGGCATCTAGCTGAAATCATACTACAGGCAGCCAAGTATCAGCAGTATCTCCAGATTCCAAGGGAACTTTCAATGACCCCTTCTCATTATGTCACTTACCCAGTCCTGCACAAGACTTTCTGAAGAAGCTCTCAAAAACAGAATGGAGAAGAGCATGAAAAAGCACTGCTACCTCTAACATAAATCAACAGGGGAAGCTTCAGAAAATTCCTTAATAGAGAGATATAAAAAAAATTTGACTTCTTCCATCTTGACGTTCCTTCTTTTAAGGTCCTTCAATGGAAGGTTCAGTTATTTAAATAGTGGGGTTTTATTAATAAATTCTGTATTAATCCCACACTAGAGCATTTATTATACCTTATCCCATTAAAAGTTTGTGATATTATGTTTCCTGTTAAACTGACATAGTTGTGATTACCACAATACCTGTCAGACATGACTCCAAGAAGAGAAAGAACAAGGTGCTTTTCATATGAGGGGTGGGAGGGTAAAACTGAAAAAAGAACAGGACAGATAGTGCAATCAGTTTTCCCAAACTGTTTTAAAATACCACTTCAGCAAGCCTCCAAGGCTGCACAGACAAGGACACAGGCACTACCTGAACTGCCTGCCACCTCTGTGTCAAAATGTGCATTGATGTCCCATTGAATTACACAGACCAAGAACATTTTCCTTTTTCAAGGAACTCTTAGAAGGAGAACATTCAAGTCAACCATCTGCTCTAAAAAGTCAACCAACCACCCTCCTACACAATAAATCCTTTGTTACTTTCTGTAACTACAGGAAAAGTAAAGTTGGTGCAATCTGAAATATCACACAATTTCTTATCCAGAGGTTTTGGCTTTAAAACTTCTTTGATGCTTATTGAATTATTTTGTAGATTTTTTAATTTTTTTTTTAAATGTGACTCCATAGCTGCAGTTGAAAACATAAATCTGGTTTTCTGCATATAAAATGTCTTTTTTACCCTATGGGTTAAAGTAACTTTCTGCATAAACTGTAGTAACAAGTGGTTTCAATATAAAGTTGGATGAGATCTAAAATCATAACAAGTCAAGCAATCTGATTTAGTCACAAGACTTCGGGAATCCACTATGGCTTGAGTTACCAGTACGACATGGTTACACTGTAAAAAAATCACAGTTGTCTCCATAGCAGGCCAAGAACCCAGCATATCCTGAGCTCCAAGTGACCCGGTGCTGTTGACTGTTATGGCTACAAGCCCATAATTAAATAACTGAAGCCAAATTTACACTAATATAGTCTAATAAAATTGTGCCTGACCTCACAGATCTATTAGTCCCTCAAGCAATCCATAAGGTTGTTCTGTCATTCTTTTCCTCAGCAGAGACACACACAAGCAACCTCGATTGAACAACAAATTACTTCAGTTATCTAAGTACAAATATCTTTCAAATGTGTGAGCACACAGCAAAAAGGTTGGGTGCACTCCAAGTTCTGTATCTCATCGTTGCTTTGTATTTACAATATAATCTCTTTGGAAAAGAGTCTTCATAAAGCCGGTATTTGACGGGTCTGAGTCTTCAACAATTAGAACTTCAGTCCATCAGCAATTAAGATGCTGAGTGCCACGTATGCAGTCTTTCTGCTAGATAACTCTAAAAAACCCTCTCAATAAATAACACTGGCTTTGTATTCATAGCTACTGCAAAACAGAGGACTTTGCTC